AGCCAACAATGGCTTGTAAGCTTATTAGCTCCCACCCTCAAAGTCAAATTATCCGATAAAAAGAATGCGTTTTAGAAAGATTTGTGTAGGGTTCAAAATATCCAATGGTTGCTTTCTTTATCATATCAATTAAAGATTATATATATATATCAACAAGATAGACAATTTATTAATAACTTTTTTAAAAAAAATTTGAATTCAAATAATATAGTATGTTAGTAGAATGAGTAAAAAAATAAAAAAAAATTATTTTTTAATTATTATGTAACTTAAAATAACAAAAAAATTAAAGATGATATACAGCTGCAGGCAACCACTCACAATCTAATTGATGCAGAAGGATGTTCAATCCATTTTCCCTGAAAGTGTCGGGCAGTAATTTAATTTACAGGGTTTTTTGAACAGTAAAAATAATATTATTACGACAGTAAAACAAGCAGCGAAATTCTTACGTTTGCATTGTTTGTTGGTTTTCCGGTTTGCTGTGTCTTTGCTTTGCTTTGGTAAATCAGACAACCATGCAACTTTGTCTCAGATTTTTATTTTTTCTTGAATATGTTAAAAAAAAAAATAAGAAGAAGAAGAAAAACGAAGTGGGAGCTAAACAGAGAGAAGGACTGGGCTACAAGAATTAAAAAGATTTCAAACTTGGGTCCATTTAATTTTGGCTTTAAATATATTATTGGATTTTTTTTAGTACTAATTAAGTAGGATTGATTTTCAAATTATTTAAAAATTTAAAGATATAGTATGGGTTTGAGTTTTGAATCCGTCAGATGCAATTATGTATAAGGCCCTCCAAGTCCAACTAAAGTTCGGCTCAATGTTGTAATCATATTTAAGTTGGTACACGGTAAGTGAGATCCACTTCCAGTAAAACAGAAGGAGGGTCTAGCCCGGGTTCTCTCATTCTACAGTTTCTACTAGGGTCAATAGGCCCAATACCCAGGGTAAGCTGTAAGTCCCACTTAGGATTTAAGGATATAAGCCCATATAATATAGAAAATTTGTTGATTTAAGCCCCACAAAATACTATTAAAAATAAAAATGCAATGCTTCAAGGCCAACCAATGGGATGGGATTGATGAGCAATGATAATATATGATGCCTCATTACATCATCTTTAGTGTTATGGCTATCTCCATACTTGTACAGAAATTGAGCCATTCTTGCAAAAGTAATTGTAGCTTCAATCAAAATTTGAGGGAGAGGAGAGGGCTCAAATTCATCTTTGTTCATCTTCTTTCATATTTTGTCAATCAAATCTTATATGTATTCATGAGCATCTTCTTTTGAAGCTCTAGTTTCATGCATGTAACATTGAATGGATTTTGGAGCATTACTTCTTCTCATTTTATTCTTAAAAAAAAAAGATTATAAGTCATGTGAAAACAACTCAAATCAAGAAGCAAAATGAGACAAAGGGTACATACCAATGACGTTCCCAAAACATCTACAAGCCTCAACACCATTGATGAACAACAGATTATACTAGGCAATTCTTCCTCTAGATATTGCAAGACTTTAGTTGTTATGTGATTTGAAGAAAGGATATAAGCATGCAACAATACTAGATGTGCTTCTATTGAAATGATTGCATTATCAATGTACTCTAGTAGAGATGGTGTGTATTCTTGGTGGTACCATTTTGCCTCTATGAAGTAAGTTTTTTATAAATCTAGTTACAAAGTCAAATTAATATTAAAAAATCAGTTAGAGAAAATAAAAACAAAGAAATTAAAATTGTGAGAATTAAGTATTGATCCCACTTTCTTTGAGTAAGGAAGAATGTTATTCCTTGTTCCCGAAAAATGTCTGAGGCTAGCTATGCTAGAATTGTTTGGATTTGTATCCTTGATTAGGTCCCAACTTAATACACTTGATTAAGAACAATAAAAGTTTGTATTCTTGTTTGGAAATATATCAAAAGTTTGCATCCTTATTATTCTTTTCTCTTTTTCTTTTTCTTTCTTTTTTTTTCCGCATCCCATCAAAAAAAAAAATTGTTCTTTTTTCCAGCCCATATAGAAAATTTATGGGATTTCTCATTTGAAATTAGAAATGACGATGGGCCTTTCTCCAAAAAAAAAGGAGAAAAAGAAAGAAAGATAGAAAGAAAAAGAAATAAAGAATGATGATGGGCCTCAAATAAGATAGCTCGGCCTGGAAATTTTAAAATGTGAGCACGATAGTCTTTTCTTCTGAGAGGTTGCTATGACGCAAATTTCTTTGCAACAATAAATTGGTAAAGTGGACAACAACATTTATTTTTCTTTGGAGCCAACAATGTCTGAAATTAAATTATATTACCATTCCCCTTCAAGAGAAGAA